GCAAGTCTCTTGCTCTCTCTTTTCGCTTCTCGTGCAGTGCGCGGCTCCCTCGCTTCGTTGTCCAGCAATGAAGTGTATCAAATTAAGTGATAATGCGGAAGGAAGAGGAGCACCACGGAGGTGAAACCAGGTGCTTGGACTATTCGGCCTGGAACAATACGTAGAGGGGTCAAAAAAAAAACAACAACAACAATAAAAAAGTAAGGAGAAATTCGGGTCTAATTGTTGAGAGGGAGGGAGCTAAAAGCTAATGAGGGAACGAGAAGGTTTACGGTTGCCAAAAGGCAACGAGGGAGTGTCTAAAAGAGGGCAGAACAAAACGGGGAATGTAACTGGAATGCCACACACTGTCATCCGGTGTAACTAAGACACGTGGGCCCTCGAGTGTTTGGGGGCGCGGACAATGGCCGTGATGGGCCACCACCAAAGCAACGGGCGGGCAATGACCTGTGGAGCAGCAGATGAAGGGAAACTAAAGGAAACCAAACAAAACGCCGTGCGATATGTCCTTGTCTGTGTGTTTATGTGGATTGTTATGTTGTTGTTTTTTCCGTGTGGTTTGCGTGGTGTGTTTCTATACGATGGTTATTGTTCTCACCAGCTTTGCTAGGGATAGTGTTTTTCTGCGTTCTAATAAGTTTTATGTTGTTGTTTTGTTGGGTGGGTGGGGTGTAGAGGTGAGCTTGCCGCAAAGTTTTCTTTATTTTTGATTTTTATACGTACGTACTGTTGCAAGATGCAACAGCTTGTCGCGTTGTTGGCGTGCTGCATTGTCGTCGGACTTCCCGCGATTCCAGCCTACGCGAAGACGACGGTCCACCTTGTGGCGCACACGCACGACGATATGGGGTGGCTGAAGACTGTGGAGCAGTACCAGTACGGCCTCAACAACACCATTCAAATGGCAGATGTGAATACAATATTATCCAGCGTCATTGGTGGGTTACTGGTGAACCCCAAGAGGAAGTTTACGTACGTTGAGATTGGTTTTTTTTCTAGGTGGTGGGAGCAACAGAGTCCAGCGACGCGGAAGATTGTGCAAGCCCTTGTTGCTGAAGGTCGGCTGCAGTTTGCCAATGGCGGGTGGTGCATGCACGACGAGGCCAGCACGCACTTTATTGACATGATTGATCAGACAACGATCGGCCACCGTTGGCTGCGGCGGGAGCTGAATGTTTCGCCCCGCGTGGGGTGGCAAATTGATCCGTTTGGTCACAGCGCCACACAAGGAGCGATGCTGACGGCCCGCGTAGGGTTTTTAGGGACCTTCTTTGCCCGTGTGGACTTCCAAGAGTTCGAGTACCGTGCAAAAACGGGGAAACGACAGTTTTGGTGGCAGCCCAGCCCCTCAATGCCGGAGCTGCGAACATTCGCCGAGATAAATCTTCACCAAACGTATTGCTCACCGCCGCACTTTAAGTGGGATATTTTGGACTACTTGCCAGGTGCACAATGGGGCGGTGACCCAATTACAATTGTTGACGATAACACTTCCGCACAGTACAATGTCCCTTTCATACTTAAGCAGTTTAAGGCTGAGGTGCGAGCCAATATGAAAGTGACACGTGGGAACAATATCATGTGGACCATGGGCTGCGACTTCAACTATTTTTCAAGTGACCTGTGGTTCAGCAATATGGACAAGCTCATTAATATTGTTAATTCTGACGGGGAATTTGCTGTGCGCTACTCCACCCCGTACGAGTACGTACTGGCAAAAAAAGAAGAAGAAACTGGCGGTGTTGTGTATGACACTAAAAAAGGGGACTTCTTTCCGTATGCGAGCTCTGCACATGAGTACTGGACTGGCTACTACTCCTCCCGCCCTGCGTTGAAGCGTCTTGTACGACGACTGAGCAGCTATTGGATGGCTGCACGTCAGGTGGAGTTTTTTGCAGGTGTGCCCACCGGTGAGGTGCCAATGATGAGCGAGGCACTTGCCATTGCACAGCACCACGACGCTATAACCGGCACGGCGAAGCAGCATGTAACGTTTGATTACGTGAAGCGTCTTACTGCGGCCTATGAGAACGATTTCCGGGGTCGGTTACGCCATGCGCTTTCGGTGTTACCTTTCAAGCTTTACAACGCACAACATTGTCTCCTGTCAAATGTTTCGGTGTGTTCTGCTACTGCTGACGCGCTTGCAAGGAATGGTGCATCGCTTACAGTTCTTGTGTGGAACCCAAGTGCTCACCCTGTACAGCGGGCACTTGTGCTTATTCCTGTCCCACGGGCCGATGTGAATGTATCCGGTGACGACGTCTTGCGGTACTCTGTTTTTGAGTCGCCGGTGCAGGTTGGTGACTATTCAAATGGGAACAAGGACTGGCAGCCTTACACATTGGGGGTTGAGCTTTGCCTGCAGAGGCTTGCAATGTTAAGGCTCTTCACCCCTTCATTGCCACATGGTGGTAGGCGGAAGTCTTACCAACAAGTTGCTTTTACGCAGAGGTTGGAATCAGTTACGAAGGTGGAAAACTCTTTTCTCGTGCTTCATTTTGGTCTGAACGGTCTCCTGGAAAGTGTCACTGTCCGATCGACTGGACAAAAGGTGGCGGTGATGCAGGACTGGTGCTATTATAACAGCAGAGGCCGCATGAGTGCTGGGGTTGGAGGTGCCTACATTATGCGTCCCACTTGGAACGCCACCTGCTACCCCATAACGGCGTCTTCGGTGGAACTCCGTCTCGTGGATGCGGCGATGGGAGTGGTGGAGCAACGCTTTGGCGACCATCTTGTGCAGCGGGTGATGCTTCGCGGGGATGTTATAGATGTCGAGTTTACCTCTTTTGGCATTCCTATTGACGACGGCGTTGGCCGCGAGCTTGTTGCCCGCTTCCGCACCTCTGTGAAGAACGGAGATGTGTTTTACACGGACAGCAACGGACGCGAGATGCAGCGTCGGCGTGTGGACCACCGCAGCGACTACCCCTTTACCCAGATGGAACCCATCGCAGGCAATTTCTACCCGGTGACGTCGCTTTTTTTCATCAACGACACGCACGCTCAGTTCAGCGTGTTCCCTGATGCCGCAATGGCTGGCACGAGTCTTAAGAGTGGCGAGGTTCTTTTTGTGGTTCATCGCCGTCTGCTGCATGATGATGGGAAAGGCGTGGGGGAACCCTTGAACGAAACCGAGTTTGTCACGAGCTACGCAAATTGCGTCCCAGCAAACATGGATGGGTGTGGCCGTCATTATGGCTCTTCGTTGCGTGTCCGCGGCACATTGTCGTTTACGGTCTCGCAAAGTGGGCCAACAGTGATGCGGCGAGTGCGGGAACAACAGGACGAGAAATATTATACGCCACTTGTCATGTATTCCTCGACTTCCGCTCATACTGCCTCCAGACTGGTACCGCATAACATGTCGTTTGGTGTGTCTTTGCCACCAAGCCTGCAGATCCTTACACTCCAATTAATTGACAAACGGCAGTTGCTCCTGCGTCTTGGGCACCGTTACGCGGTGAGTGAGGACCCTGAGCGCTCGTTGCCTGTCGAGGTGGATCTGCTGGCGCTTCTGAAGGGATTTCATTGGGTGAACATCACGGGCATCGATGAAGTTTCTCTTACGGCTGCAGAGGTGGTGCGGCCGCGGGTCCACAAGGTGACGCTGCAGCCAATAGATATCCGCACCTTTCTCTGCCATGTGAGTTTGCCGTGAGAGGAGGCGGATGCATGTAGAGAGCTTTTTAAAATATTTTATTTCATTTTATTTTTAGTGGGTGGGGGCATTGGGATGAAAACGATTATTTGTAAGCATAGAAGTGGGAAGTGAACCCTGAATACGCGGAGACACAAGGCCAAAGAGGAAGAGCGAAAGTGAGGGCGATGTCAATAGGCTCAAAATGGTAAGAAGCCACGGCCCCAGTGAAGTGGTGGCTTTTGTTTCTTGATGAATTTTGCCGGAATCGAAGGCAATTTTTAAAAATATTTGTTGCTGTTTTGCAGAGGGCATGCAAACGCAGCATGTAGTGAGTAAGGGATGACTTGTTTTTGTTTTGTTTTTTGCTCGTGTTCCGTGCATTGATCACTTCGTCTGCCGCATTTCCACTCGAGAGCGGGGAAAGTGGTGTAGCTGAAAGTAGATGTGCGAGGCGGCGGGGGGGGGGGGACTGATGAATAGTGGTAGACGCCGCATTGGGCGAGCTCTTTTTTTTTTTTTTACTTGGTAGTCGTTTGATGTGGGCACGTTCACTGCGGCCTGAATTCTGCGTTGTGGTCGTCGCCGCTGCGGCGCAATTGACGATGGTAATGATGGCTGTTTCGTGGAATTGCAAATGAAGCGGCATGCGGCGCCCCCGTTGCCATACTTGTTGCTGAGGTCAGCTTCGTGGTGTTTGGTGCAACACACGCAGGGCACACCGTGGCTGTTTCTCTTCCGCCTCTCATCGCTGGGCTGTGAGTTGTCGGTGTTGTTGTTTGTTTTTTTATTTTTTGCCTCAAACGAAACTGTTTTTTTTTTTTTTGCTTCCCGTTTGTGCGTGGCCTCTATGCACGCGCGTGTAAGCGGAGCCGCGCAGGTTTCCGGGAATGAACGGCGGGGCGGGGGCGGGTGACGACGGTGGGAACAACAAAAAGAGGCGTGAAAAGAAGGGCTTCAAAGTTGATCGCCTCGAGAATTTTCAGCGCAAGCGCCTGAAGAAGACGGGCGCTGGAGACGCCCGCAGCAACAGCGGCGGTGGAAATGCAAAGCGAGTGAAGGCGATCAAGTTTGACGAGGATGCCCGCCGCGAGTACCTTCTCACGATGCACAAATGTAAGAACGAGCGTCGTGTGAAGGCCTTTGTGGATGCAAAGCAAAAAATGCGACGCGACAACGCGAGGGCCCGGCACGCTCAACGCGAGGAGGCCCGGCAGGCTTACAATCGCTTTGCCGCGGTTCCCATTCTTCCAAACTTTACATACCAACTGCCACAGAATGACGAGGATGCTGGGAACGAGAGCGACGCAGAGGACGTCTCCCACCGTGCACGCCGTCCGGTGCTCGCCGCGGAGAAGACGGTTCACGTTATGCCCACAATCATGTGTGGCGGGGTTGATGGGGCGACGGCGTCCAACTGCAAGACTCACCTCGATGATGAATTTGTCACAGTGGAGGTGAAGCCGCTCTTCGCAAGGTCTAAGAAGTCGGGTGGCGGCGATGGCGTCATTGCGGCTCCGCAGCATCCTGCCAACGACTTTTCGGACCTCCCTGCGGTGGTGGAGCAGGAACTGGTGCGTCTCAGCAAAGAAACGAAGGGGCCTGCCAAGACAAAGCCGCGCATGCGTATGCTGAAGGAACTTGCCAAGATCCGAAAAATCAAAAAATACTCTCAAAAGGGACACGGCAAGAAAACGGCAAAGGGAAAGAAGAAAAACCGCCGCTGACGTCAGCGGGTTTTATCCCTCCCTTTCCATGTTTTATTGGTTTTGTTGTGTTTCTTTTCACGATTAAAGGGGTATGAGCAAAGTGTTGAAATTAACTACAGTCTTTGCGACGCGTTGACTGAATATCATTTGGCGTTGGACGCTGCAGGTCTGGTGCCCCAAAGACATATAATGTTGATGTTGTTTTGCCTTTACGTTTCCGCCCAATTTCTTTTTGGTGTATTTATTGATTTCTTCGTATTTCTATTATTCTTACTTTTGGTGTTCCGCTTTCCCCTGCTACGTGACGAAACACGAAGGGGGTGACACGCTGCAAAACCACACAGCCACCCCACAACAAAGGAAGAAAAAAAAAGGCAACGTTGGACCCTGCAAATTAAGGCTGGGGGAGGTATGCCCCCGCTGCCTGGTTGGTGGCGGCACTCGGCAGCGGCGGAGGCGGTTTTGTGTGTATTGGGAGGTGTCAGCACCCGAATGGCATGTTTCGCGTCCCGTTGTTTCCGCCGCCGGGCGTCGACTATGGCTGCGATGACTTCCGAGCCGGTGATTTGCCGCCGTCTTTACGACTGCCAAAAACACGTACGGGGTTTGCTTCAGGATATCTCGGTGGGGTTTGCTCCCACGACGCAAGCACGGTGGCGGCAGGGAGAGGCGGTTCCCAAGCACAACTGCGGCGCACGCACTCTGCTGGAGTTGCACGAATTGTCAGGTCAATTTGTGATGACGTTGCACGCGACGCTGTTTCTTCCTCGTGATGTGGTGCATGAGGTGGATGATTTCCCTATGTTTCTTTTGCGCCACTTCCGACGAGCGGTGGCGCGGGCAAACGAAGAGCGCTCTTGGAGCGATGAGGAAATAGTGGAAGGCTTTGTGGATTGGATGGACATGGCGCTTCCCGCCCCCCCATCCTCTAGCGGGGAGGGGGAGGTTGTCTCCTTCGTGGAACTTATGCGGCTTGTGCGGTCTTTTGTGCGCTATCATCATGGTGTACGATGGGGTGGTGGAGCCACAAAATCCGAGTGGTACCGCGGCGGTTATCTACTGCATCCATGGCATGACACCTACTGTCCCACTTTGCATTCAGAGCAGATGCCGTACGTGCATTTGCTGCAGTGGTTGCTCCGGCGAAGGCCGGTTCAGGAAGAAAAAAGGCGCCTCGCTGACGCAGAAAGTAGGAGCGCATCAAGCGTTGGGCTGTCTATGAAGGATGATGCAATGCGATGGTGGGGCGCAACAGAGCCATTTGCCCCACCATCGTGGCGAGGTGAGGGAAATGCGACTCATGCCGTCGGCTTTGCAGCCCTGGACTGTGGATGTCATAGCGGTTATATGGTGGATCTTCTCTTGAAGGCCGGGGCTCAGCATGTGGTTGGCGTTGACGTTGCCGCGCGTGCGCTGGGAAGTGCGGAGGCGACCCTTCGGGAACACCTGCGCGAGCGGCGCAGCGCGACTAGTGTGGCGAAAACGATGCGCTTTATTCGATGCGATCTGCTTCCAGAGCTCGAGTCTGTCGTGGAGCAAGCGACGGAGCGCGGAAAGTTGGCAAGCCCTTTGATGGGGGAAAAAAACGTGTTGGCCAATGCCGCAGCGCGTCGCCGTCATAAGGCGCGGCGCCGCTGTATCCCGGACAACCCGCAAGCCACTGCTTCTCACTCAGCTGGGGCTGTTGCGGCGCGGGAGGGCGAAGTTGGTCCGTTCGATCTTCTTGTGTTTCACCCTCCCATGAAACCGCTCTTCTCACAGTGGCCATTGCTGCAGGAGTTATCCAACGCCTTTGAATACCTTCCGCCCGGCGCCGAGGGCCAACACCCACATTGTAGCTTGCCAGTGCTACACAGGCTTCTGCAAGAACTACTTTACTCCCCAAAAGGGCAAAGTGACGGCCACACCCCGCCGCGACAGCGAAAGACGCCGCTGGTGCGGGATGGGGGTTACGTCGCCTTTATACTTCCACGGGCATTTGACCCGAAAGATATTTTACAACACATCTCATCATCTCAATCAAATTCGTTTAACGGGAGCGGTAACCACGTTCCTTTCACCTCCCTCAGTGACGCTGTCACTGGAGCTTTGGAGGGGTCATACGAGGTGGTCCTGCATCGTCGTCACTCGCTGGCGGGGATGTGCGACACTGGTGAAGTTCCTCTCTGTGACGCGGTTTACCTCCGCGAATTTTCACATCCACGCTGGCGCGATCAAATAAAGCGGGAGCTAAACGACTTCTACCGTACACACCAAGCGGTGGATCTTCTTGTGTTCAGGAAGAAGCCAGGAAGCAGCGTGCACGTGGAGCATGGGACCAACAAAAGTAATGAGCGTCGTAGGGTGGATACTGTCCGTGCCCACCCAGGAGAGGATCTGCTACCATACGACGAGAGCTTTGAGTACACGGAATACGTTCCGGCAGACGGTCCTCCGCTCCAGCACCATTGGACGGCGTTGATGCCGTCATACTCCTACCTTGAAGATGACTTTTTTGGCAGCAACGCGGCGTCAACAGGATCAAGTTCACACAAACGAAACTTTTTGGCCCTTGGGCACACCGTCTCTCCCGTCAGAGAAGAAGGGCGCACAGCGGGCCCCGATGGCAACTTGAGTCACGCGGACCTGCAGACGTTGCAACGCAACATGCAGAATTACCGGAGTCTCTTCACTGAAGAGCTGAAAACGCATCGTAAGCGTCGACTACGCAAAATGGCGTTACAGTCGTTGGAAAAACAGGAGTGGTACATTGACGAGAAGCTTGTCAAGTCTGAGGGGGCGAAGATTGATCTGCTTAACGAGCTATCACGGTTTGACTTGCAGGATTGGGACTGATGCGTGCAAATGTTTCTGTGTGTATGTTGTGTGCCTCTAGAAGGAGAGGGACGCTGTTGATTCTTCCGTTGTTCTTTGGTTTGTTGTTGTTGTGTGTGTGTGTGTGTGTGTGTGTCGTTGCTGATATTCCTTTCTTGCTTTACTTCCGTCGTATGTTAAAGTGTTTGTGCCGCTGGTGTTTGTGGGGCTTTTTTTCTGCTCCGTCGTTGTATGCAAGTGGGAATAGCTTATACACTCACGGCTGGGCGTGTGCTTTGCTCTTCATCGTGATGACTTTTTCAGTGCACGTGATGACGGCGGCGAAGGACCCCAGTCTTACGTTACGGCTGCAGCGACTTTATAAGCATGTGATGGTTACGATAGAAGAAGGTGCCAGAGTTGATTCTCAGCACGCGCTTCACTCCAAGTTGATGATGGAGGTTGCACAAAACTACAGCGACATCCTGGGAGAGGCCGCCTCATTAATGGTTGTGCCGGATTCCGCTGTAGTTATAGACGAGGCGCTCCGTGTGGCCTCCCGCTTATTGGCGTTTGACAGTCATGGTGATCACGGCACGTCAACAGCCACGGAGACAGGGGCCACGTTCATTGGGTATGTATTGGAAGGTATAGAGCAATTAGTCAAGCTATTTCCCAGCAATCACGGCCTGCCACTGCCTAAGCCGTCACGGGAGGAATTAATTGCGGTGGTGCGTCTGTTGCTTTTCCCCGTCGTACAGCAACGGTCCGAGCTGGACCCAACTGCTTCATTCAACTTACAAACGTTATGTAGTGCTAATGTGGTTGCAGAGGTGTCACTTCCTCAGCATGCATGGAGGGATCGCCGGCTCGTGTGTGCTCGCTTGCTAACGGAGCGCGGGCTGCCTCGTTGCAGAGACGTGGAGGAGCTTCTTTCGTCGTCTTGCGTCTACGGCGGTATGCTACAAAAGTTTCTTCTTGAGACAATACAAGAGGAATTTACGGTGATGCGCCGCCATGCGAGCGGTTCACTGACTGCGTTAAGCGATCTCACAGACGAATTTGGGGACGAAGCAGGTCCTAGCAGCAGCAGCAGCAGCAGTGATGCAAGCCGGTTTTTTTACTACGCTGTTCTTTCCGTATCGGCGCGCGGTGTGCCCACGCGATCAGGAAGAAGTGCCTCAACATCTTCAAGCTTTTCAACGGGGTGCAACACACCACGCTCTCGCCATACAGGTGACGACCACGTCTGGCAGATGCGTAGCGCTAAGAGTCGCAGCGGCACAATTAAACGACTTGTGTGTCAAAGGAGCGCCGCAGTGCTTTGGTCACTCGCTGCGTTGGCTTCCCTCGGTACCGCGATGGCGCATCACGAAGAGGCGGCATCGCAAGAGTTGTACGACCAAACTTCAGACTTTGTGGACTTTGCTGGGGATCTCGTGAGCGTCTGCGCCGTTGTTGTCCGTCCATTTCTCACAGAACACTTGGACTTGATGCAACAAATAAGCCAGGAGGTGTTTCCTGTTTTTTCGCAGCCACAAGCTATGCGAGGAATTTTGCAGTATATTAATGAGGATGTGGCGAGTTACCGCCGATACAAGGACGTGGTGCAGCAGTTTCTCTCCCGCTGGGACCCTGCATTTGCTCGCGTGTCCCTTCCACCCACGAAATCGAATGACGCCTTGTTTGCCTCACCGCGGGAGACACGAGAGACGAGCGAGAAGAGGCACGAGGAGGAGGAAAAGGATGTTCTTGTGCAGGGCAACCCGGCACTGGGAGTTGAGATGGAAAAGGAGATAACGCCTCAGTGGGAGCCTGTGGCGCCCGCGTTGGCGGTACACCTTGCACTACCGATTTTGGACGACGTTGAGCTGGAGGTGCCGGAAGTGGTTTCGCTCTTCACGGAGGTGAAGCAATTTCGAGAGGCGGAGCGGGAAGTGCTGTGGACCTACTGGGCGCGTCTGCGTGGAAAAACCACGGCACTAGCTGCCGCTGTCGCCCGCATGCAGCAGCGCCTCAATTCTGCTTTGGAGTCCAGGGCGATGTTTTTTTCACTTAGCAAAGTCTCCAGAAAAGATTTTGAGCGGGAGTGGGGAGATCAAATCTCTCAGCGTTTGCTGAAACTGCAGCAGGCGATGCGCAGCGTTCAACGCCAGCGGGGGAAACAGCCACGGCATGTGTCACAGATGCCTCAACTCCAAAGGTGAGGAAGTGGTACGCTTTTTTGTTTTGTTTTTTTTCTCGCCCTTTTGTCTCAGCTACGTGTCGCCCAGGATGCCGCGAGGATGAGTGATGAGGGGCGGCTTCCCATTTTTCCCTTCGTCTGGGCCTCGGCGTGGGTGGAGGACGCCTTCATTTTTCGCACTATTTGTTGCCGTTCACGTCTTTT